TTTCCAAATGATCAATGCATGATTTACAAAATCATGCATGAGTAGCAGATTCATTCAAAATGGAAGATAAACCAATGGATTTTAATGTAACAGAACTCATGAAAAAAATCACTACTTCAATTTCCACAATGCAACTAACCTTTAAGTAACTAACACTTGTTAAGTTTGGGTTAGTATCAAAGAAAAATATCACAATTATCTGCAAAGGCCACCGAAATACTCTTCCCCTTTCTAACCACGTATTTGTGTAAGGCTATATTTTCTTCATATCTTTCAACCAAACAACATATTGCAACTGACTGAATGAAGAAGCAGATATGAGAATCCAAATATCTTCTTCTCAAACAGACATTAAAAAAAAAAAAACCCATAACGTAAAACAATGCCACTCTTCTCACTAAATATTTTCTTACTTTGGAAAATATAGTGTTTTTTTCCCTAAAAAAAATGTTTACCTATAATAAGTTTACTGTTGTTATTTTAAATGAATTGGTAAATGCTTTTAAATTTTTTGTTTTCATTTTTGATGTTATAAATTGTGATAAATAATAACCTACATAAACCAAAGTTTCTATGAATCATCAATAATTTTTAAATATGTAGTCTTGAGACCAAAAAATCTGACAACTTTTTGTCTAAATATAAAGTGATAAATGACTGTAATAGAGTAATGGCAGTCCTCTATAACTGGAAATTGAAGAGAAAGACTCAAATAGAAATGAGGATCCATATTTTAAGAAAGATATTTAGGCCTATGAATCACTTAAACTAGCTGCGTTTATGAATTACTCAAGAGAGTTAACTGAGTTGGACTCATAGATACCATCTTCAGGTCCTTAAAGGAATCAGGCCCTTTGAGGTCAGTTTTTTGCTATTAAATATACTGTAATATTTCCTGTAATTCATCTTGCTAATCTTCAAGCCACATACAACAAGATATAAAAATCCAAAAGGTGAAGGATAAATACTTTTACATACAAAGGAACATTATTCAGCCATAAAAAAGAATGAAACCTTGTCATTAGTGACAACATGGGTGGACTTAGAGAGTTTTATGCTACGTGAAATAAGTTGGAGAAAGGAAAATACTGCATGATTTCACTTATATGTGGAATCTGAGAAACAAAACAAATGAACAAACAAAAGAAAACAGAAACAGATTCAGAGACAGAGAACAAACTGCTGGTTGCCAGAGGGAGGTAGGGGGACAGGGAAAATGGGTGTAGAGGAGAAGGAGGTACAGGCTTCCAGTTATAAAGTAAATGAATCATGTCATGGGGATGAAAGGTACAGCATAAGGTTTATAGTCAATGGTATTATAATAGCATTATGTGGTGACAGGTGGTAGCTACACCTGTGAGCACAGCATACAGAGTCGTTGAATCACTATGTTGTACACCTCAAACTACCATGTCATTGATAACACACTAAAGCTTAAGGAAATTAAAGGTTATATGCTTAGAATCTATGTTATATAAAATAATTAAGCATGTAATAAATTGACTTATGTATTTACATTTCACCTCTTTTTACAAGAGACCTGAGATTTCACACCAGACTTAAGACCACTCTGGGAGGAAATATGCAATTAAGAGAAAAGAGAGAACACCCCACAGGGCAACTAAGATATAACAGAAACTGGAAATTGAGGTCCTTTAATACTATATATTAAGTGTGGTATCAATTTTTTATTTGTATAACAACTTTTCCCTGGGTTTCTCAAGACTGTCCTACAATATTTGAAAAAGAAATTGAGTTTGTCCTGCATTTTCTTAAAGTTTGTTTTGAATAGATAGGAGATACTGAGATATAGATGTTAATATAATTTAAGGAAAGACTTGCATTGATGTCCAGAAAATCCTGCATTCAAAATAGAAATAATAATTTCCTTAATGAAACTTGAGAAAAAATAATAGAAAAGGAAAACATCAAATTTCAGTTAAAAATATGTAGTTGAAGCCCAGAGTTCAAATACCTACTCGATAGAATAATTGTATATTTATAAAATAGAGTAAAAAAAATGATGTTTCTAGAGAAGGACAATGGGAATTTGTACTCTGTGACAGTAATTCTAAGAGAAAAGTCCCATGGCGAGTCCATATGTCTGTTCATTTAAGTCCTGGCTAGTTAACAGAATATACTGAATTTAAAAGGACAAATGTTATTATTATATTCATAAAAGAGTTTTTTTCAAGCTGTACCATTTAAAAATCACCCAGATTATTTTAGATGATATTATTGTCTTAGTTTGGGCTGCTATAACAAAAATAACATAAACTGAGTTGTTTATAAACAAGAGAAACATTTCTCAGTTCTGAAAGCTGGAATTCCAAGATCAGAGTGCCAGCATGGTCAGGTTCTGATAAGGGTCTTCTTCCATGGTGACGACTGCCAAACTGCTCTTTTCTCATTGTACCCTCAAATGATGAAAAGAGAGCTAGAGAATTTTCTGGAGTTTCTTTTAGAAAGGTAACAGTCCCATTCTTGAAGCCTCCATCCTCATAACCTAATTGCTTCTCAAAGACCCTATCTCCTAATACCACCACACTGGGTGTTAGGATTTTAACATATGAATTTTGGAGGGACACAAACATTCAGTTGGTAACATTTATGAAACATATGCTAATTATATCTCAATTAAATTAACATATTATATATGTACATATACTATATATTTAATACATAGAGAAGGAGAGTCCACTATGTATTAAATACTATGTAGTGAGCAGGCCTGCCCTCAGGAATCATTTTGTACAGTATATAAAGCTGGAAGGGTAAATAAAATATATAAAGTAGGAAGCAGGCATACAAAAGATGACAGAATCACAATTCCAAAAGATTTTGTTAGATATGAATCATGAACTAGATCTAACGAGATACAATTTAAAAATTAAAAATCTACTTGTTGTACTCATCTCTCTAGACAACTATAAATTTATAGGAGAAGAAAAACATAACTTACAAGGTATGAGAAGTCAGCTCCTGTGTTCAAAAACAATTGTATCTATTTTAAAACTCCAGCACCTGACCCAAAGTAGATCTTTAATAAATATCTATTGAACTCGTTTGGATCATGTTTAGAGAATGTTGCCAATACTAAACCTCAGGAGTGTCAAGAAAGCAATGTGACTTCAAAAAAAAAATGTTAATGGGACCTTCCAATACCTGTGTCAGTAGAAAGAAGAGTTATAATCTTGCTCAATTTTTATTGGTCATGCCAACTTAGGGTATTGTTTTTAGCTTTGGAGCTGTACCTTAAGAACAGACATACAAAAAGAAAGAAAGAAAGAAAAGAAAAGAACAAGAACAAACATAAAACTATAATGTGAATAGAAAAAAAGGGAAAACTACTGAAAAATACCAAAACTACATTTTATAAGAAACAGCCAAAAGAAGCTAATATTTAACTTGTAGAAGAGACTACTTATTTTCAAATATATGAAATGGAAGAATAATAAGCTATCATTTATTAAATAACTACTATTGTATACCTCATTTAATCCTGCTAACAGAATTATTAGGTATTATTAACATTTTTTACTGATAAGAAAACCGTCACTCAGTGAGATAAAGTAACATATTCAAACTCACACAGCTAAAAAGTTATAAATCCAAAATTCACAAAATGATTTGAGCCCAAGACCAGGGCTTATTATATTGTGTTTATTTGTCTTTCACACGAAGTAAGCTTAAACTGGTTCTATGTGTCCTCAAGAGACTAAATAATGCCAGACAGATTTCAGCTCAGTATGTGTGAATTGATATACTAGTTCATATGAGAATACATGGCAAGGTATTTTTACTAGTCCTTAGGAGATCTCTGTGATCTTTTATTGCTAAAATTATACCCTTTAGTGTAAAAGGATAAAAATAATACTAAAAATTGGCAAAGTAACCTATGATTAATGGAGTTTACCTATGAGTAATCTGTTTTCAAGAAAATGGTAAAAATCATATTGGAATTAAATGTTCTTTCCAAGCTCCCTGACCTACTCCTCTCCCTGTTCCCCAAGAGTATTGCTTTCTACAACCAACTGGGGATATCTAATACCAATGCATATTGTTAAAGGTTATATACATACATAAATACACTTACAATTATAAGATTTACTTCAGAATTAGTGTTAATTTACCAAAAAAACAAATAAACAACAACAACAGAAATATCTTATCCCTGGTTGATTTACAAATTTATTTCTAAAATAGAAATATTTGGGGTCTTGGAAGTTAGGTATTAAATTTTAAAATGTATCAATATTTCTCAACCTTGTGTGGGCCACTCCAGTTCCAGATGTTTGTGAAATTCCTCCTGTCTCTACACTAGAAAACAGACTGAAATAATGCAAATGTTTGATTTTGACCACCTTCTACTGAGAAGCACATGTTCATGTAGGAAGTCAGGCAATAAAAGGGATAATAAATAATTCTAAACGGATCTTTGAGATTTAGATGTGGAGGATCACCATTATCCTTAGCTGGCTGTCCTGGATGCCACAACCCCCTGATTTCTGTAAACCAGTTCTTGTGCTTCCAAGATAGAAATCAGATGTAACTAGAACTTCTACTTTAAGAGAAATTAGGGGAATATGGAGTGAAATGAATAGGTTTCCTACACAAAAGTTTGTTTCTTACTTCTTTTTCAGAGAAAGGACCACTTTTGTTTCAGACAGGTTTAAAGGGTGGAAAATTCTCATTTAGCGGTGTAAAAAAACACGGTTACTTTTGTGTGGACGTGCAGGCAAGGCCGACTAAAGAAAAGGAGTTTGTGTACCCTGTCCTGAATGATTTCAGCAGACTGGAGGGCTGGAAGAACGTTGGGGTGTAAGATTGTCCGGGTTGCACCAGGCCAATGTCTTTCCTTTCATATTATACAGAGAAAACGGCGCTGGGAAAATAGATTGATGTCAGCCCCCTTTCTTATGCTTTACTGCTGCGGAGAACTAACTCTGTCTCCCCCGCCCCTTCCCTTCAACTCCCTTCCCCATTCTGCCCCTCCTTAGATGTGTTTGCACGGATGAGTGCCGAATGGGGAGACAGACCAACTCGTTGCATCGCTTTGCGCAAAATCCACCCCTTCTCTCTCCTCCCTCCCCTCCAGCCTCCGGATCCCGCACAGCCCTCCCTCCCCTTCCCACAGCGGTGTGGGTTGAAGATGTGTCTCTACTACTAAGGCGGAAGGGGGCTACAAGCAGTGGATAATGTCAGATGCCCAGCTCTCCCCTTCTACCTAAAGCTCCTCTCTGGCTGCACCAGGGTTAGTCTCTGTAAGAAATAGCAGGAACTGTGGCAGCGGCGAGAGGAAGCGGCTGAGACGCGTGGAACCTGAAAAAGTCTGGGTGCTCGGGTTTACCTCATAGCGAGGTCCCAGCCAGCCGTCAGCACCATGGACAGCAGCACCGTCCCCACCAACGCCAGCAATTGCACTGATCCCTATACGCACTCTTCAAGTTGCTCCCCAGCACCTAGCCCCGGTTCCTGGGTCAACTTCTCCCACCTAGATGGCAACCTGTCCGACCCATGCGGTCCGAACGGCACCGAGCTGGGCGGGAGCGACAGCTCGTGCCCTCCGACCGGCAGTCCTTCCATGATCACAGCCATCACCATCATGGCCCTCTACTCCATCGTGTGCGTGGTGGGTCTCTTCGGAAACTTCCTGGTCATGTATGTGATTGTCAGGTAAGGAAGGCGCCAGGGCTCCCACCAGAGACTTCAGCAGCTAATAAGGGCATAAAGGGACAACTGACCCCCCAGGAAGTGTTTGGCGGGAGGATGAGAGAAGGGAGGTAAACAAGGGAGAATAAGGGGGCGATGGTGATAGAGTGGTTATTGTGAGTGCAAAAATCCACTTTTCTCTTTTTCCCTCCGCTGTTAAAAAAGGAATGAAAAATTTCAGAAACAGAGAAGTTGCCTTGGTAGAAGATGTAAAGCTCTGGGAGGAAAAAAAAATGCTCTTAGAGTTCACTTACACTGAGCCAAGAGGGCTCCTGGGCAGAGAATCCCACAGTCCCTTCCACAGGAACTGTGGAAACAGTAATTTGCGAATAAGGAAGAGGAATTCTAGTTAGATTTCCTGATGAGGAGGTCAATCCCCTTCTCAGTTCTTTTCAGACATGAACCTTGGCAACTTTCCTACCCCTGCTGGTTTCCGCGTACTTTACTGTACCATGCCCCCCCCCGTTTGCTTGTCACACTTGTCCTTACTCCACCGTTCCTTCCATCCTGAGGCCACACTCAATGAGAAAGTTTTTCTGGGGTCTCTCTACAGTTAATAGTGTTGCTTTGTAGTAACAAATGTGACAGTTGTGTTGCCTAGACCATTTTGCAGTTGGCAGCTGCCAGATCTGCTAGGAGAGTCACAAACTGAATTGGGAATAGATGATGTGGTTCAGGAGAAATGCAGGGCATGACTGTTTTCCAAATCCTCTGAAAGTGGAAGCCAATTAGAAGTGACCAAAAGCAGCATAATTCTGGAGTATAAACCATTATATAGGAAGTTCCAGTGGTTGTTCTGGGAGGAAAAACTGTCTTTATCAGTGAAATTATTTCAAAAGAGTTTGTGGCCCATTTTCTGTTTACCTAGATGTTCCAGATTTATTTGGCAAAGAGTGTGCAAGCTTTCAATATTAACTATGTTAGTGTTGGTATGCATATTCAAGTCCAACATGCTAATAATGGGATACTATATATTCATTTTTGCTAAAGTAGATAAATATTTTAACACTTTAAAATGGTTTCTAATTTGGCATTTTCTTCCTACTCAGGGCTTATGTACGTAGTGAACATGGCATCTTCATACTTAGTTACAATATTTACTTCATCTATTCAGCAAGTACCGCAGGCTTTAATGGAGTTCCTTAATCATTTAACAATCATCTTTCTTATTATGTTTTCATGATCAAGGTTTGTGAGTTGCTTGTAATTGATTATTTCTTGTATGTCTGATTTCCTTAACTAATGATTGTTAAAGGGTAAAACTAATTTCTCTAATCTTTTGATGAAGAATAAGATAAGTAGTGTCTCTGAGAAAAGAGCACCATCTATTGAGAAGAAGGCTAACAACAGAAGGGAAAGTGCAGGAAGGAAATCAATGGAAGAATTTATTTTTGAAAACATTTACCGTGTATAATCTAATACAAAGACTCATATCAAAGATAAAAACTGAGTCTCACAGTTATAATAAAAATCATACTTAAAGTTCTGCCTTATGAAGAGAAAATATGTTTCTCATTCGTCCTAAGAAAATTCATAGAATCATAAGCTGATAGGGCTAGAAGGGAAACTAGAGCTTACCTACGCCAGATGAGTAAACTGAGGCACAGAAAATATCAATGATTTCTTCAAGGAGAAATAGTTCTTTAGTTCAATAACACTATTATTAGTTCAATATATTATATTAGTTCAATATAATATCTATCTTAGCCAATATAATTTTCTTATTAGAGTGGCAAATCATGATTTAATTCAACTAAAATATTGACAGAGTAGATTCAATTAGCTGTAATAATGTGGAAATAATAAAGTACCCCAAATTTATGTCTGGAATCCTGGAGAATAAAGGATGAAGAGAAATTACCAAAGTGTCTAGAAATCCTGCTGTCTGAAACATAATCCTTTATTCCCTTTTATTGCTTCTCTTGGTATTGTCCTTCCTTATTTTTCTCCCCTCTAGCTTATACTTTTCTATAAAGAGGGAGCCAATAAAGCAGCAACTGGCTGTGAAATAAGATTGGTCTTATTTCAGTGTTTAAGAGATTGCTGGTTGATTGAGTTTGTTTTAAAGTCATTACTTCTGACCTCTTGATGACTTGGAGAAGGATAGTGACATTGCATCTTCGTGAGAACATGATATTATGCTTTATTTCTTTGTACTGAAAGTTCAAACAAAATGCAGTATGATTTGAAAGGTTACCCCAAACATCCATTTATGACAGGTTGGGTGTTTAATTCCATAGTCAGGTAACCCTCTGAGAATATGACTGCAAAACAGAAAAATGGACAGTTTAGTGACCAATGAAGTAATGAAGAAAGCATTTGGGGATTGAAGAAAATATGTTTATTTAGCTTAGAATATTTAAGTGGACTGTCTCCAGGCTGTGGTGTTTTCACTACAAAATGATAGTTCAGAGATATTATTGCCTCTGTTAAAAAGATGACTATAATGCTACATCTATTAAATTATTGAGGTGAAATGCTCACTTCCTGCTATTATTTAAAATTCAACAAATACTTTTGAATGGTCAAGTGCAGTTAATGGTCAAGTTAGTCTTCTATCCAGATTAAGGTGATATTTATTAGAACGTTTTAATACATCAAATGAATTATGAGTCTCAGATGACTATAGCAACCAAACCAACAACAAAAGTAAGTGGTAATACAGATGCCATGATTAATACTTTTCTGCTCTGTGTCTTAACTCCATCATCATTGTACCTTCATCAACAACATTATTAAATAGTATAACTTAAGAAGGATTCTTACACAGTGCTCTTCTAAGGAACGTAAGGGAGGAAAAGAGACACCATCATATGATCCAAAGATTTAAAATCCAGATGTTAAATGATAAAAATGTTATAACTATTTGCCACATGAAAACTTTTTCAGTTTTAAAGAAAATAATATTTGCAAGATAATAATATTATAAAAATTACCACAGATTCTAAAGAATATGGAGATAAAATATTATAAAATGTAGCAATTATTTAAAATGGGATGATACTTTACTATTGTCAAGAATGTTTTCTAGGGGCACTTGACTGGCTTAGTCCACAGAGCACACAACTCTTAATCTTGGGGTTGTGAGTTCAAGCCCCATGTTAAATGTGGAGATTACTTAAAAATCAAAACTTTACAAGAAAAAGAATGTGTTTTTTTCTTTTAAATTAACCAAAATAGTACACAAAGTTATAGCCACCAGGAATGTTTCACTTCCTGAGAACACTTGACCCAAGTATAGAATTAACCATAAATATAAAAACTGATATTGCCCCACATATATTTATTTTGTGAGATTTTGTTACAAAGATTTGTCCATGTAGTCATGAATATGGCCTTTGCACACACCATTTAAAAAAGTAGAGGGTTGGAAACCGTTAGATCTTTATGAGCTGTGAAAACCATCCTTCCAATAAATTACCAATGAAGAGTGCCAAATGATACTGCCTTCATTTTTCAGATTATTTCTTACTTTGACTAGATGAATTCTCAATGTGACTAGTTATCAGAGCAGAGCATTTAAATATATGCAAGATTTTATTGTCTTTTTCTTTCACTAAAAAGTATTTCTCATTTTAAAACACTTGTTCTATATACTAAATATTTGATTTAGGTTTAAGCTACAAAGTGATCAGTCATGTCTGATTGGAACAGAACTACAAGCTCTTTTACTTCATATATAAGTTGCTGGGAAAATAAGGAATAACAATATTTTATCTAAGGTTATATATATTGTGTATATATATATATATATACACATCTATTTACAAATACATATATACATATGAATTAATTTCAATGCATATGTCCCTGAATATGATCACTAGTGATTTTTATAAAATAAAAAAGAAAGTTGTTTATTTAGAAAGCTCATATACAAATAAAGCTCACTTTCTTTTTTTTAAACTATAAAATATCCTTGTTAGAGACGGATTTAAAGGGAAAAAAACCCTGCTAAATAAAATCTGTCTTTGACATAATGGTTTACATGAAAACCTAAGAATTTAATTGTATTCCTTTCACTTCACAATGGAGAGCTTCTAGTATCATCTATTACAATTTCAACTTTAACTGCTATGTCCCATACAGGTGCTAATTCTGTCAGAACAGTCTTCTTCAGTGTGCCCCAGAAAATAAAAGTTGCTTTTCATTTCCTTAATTGTAAGCTGTGTCTGTCATTCGCGTAGTGTTATCACTGAGTTTCTTTTCCTTCTCTCCTTTCTTTCTTGAAAGAATGAGCTATCTTATATTTTATGAAATATTTCCAACATAAAGGAATGTATAGAGAGTAATAGATTCTTCACCTTTAAAAATTATATATAATTATACAGCACCTGGGTGGCTCAGCCTTTAAGCATCTGCCTTCCACTCAGGTCATAATCCCAGCGTCCTGGGATCAAGCCCTGTATCGGGCTCCCTGCTACGTGGGAAGCCTGCTTCTCCCTCTCCCACTCCCCCTGCTTGTGTTCCCTCTCTCGCTGTGTCTCTCTCTGTCATAAATAAATAAAATCTTTAAAAAAAATAAAAAATAAATATAAAAATTATATATAATTACAATTATATATACTTCTAGTAATATAAATTATATATTATACATAATATCCATTATTTATATCATTATATAATATATAATGCATAATTATATATAATTATATGTTATATAATACATAATTATATATATACAAAATAATGTGTAATTTATAAATTATATCACATATATAAAATATATATATATAAGAAGTTTCCTCTCATCTCCTATTATACTGTCTCCCCAGAGACTATTACTATTATAAATTTGGTGGTTATTATTCATGCATATTTTTTAAACTTTTATTTCTGATGTGTGTTTCCACAAACAAAATATAATCTTTTAAACATGTTCTTTGAATTTCACATATTAAACATTTATATTTTACATTAATGTTAATTTAGACATAATTTCACTATTTTCCCAGAGTTGTTCT